GAGATATTGACACAGTCAGTAGGCAAAACGCAAGTTCTACATATCACACATTACCTGCCATTATTCCAAAACGTGGAATATGCAATACAATATATTCTGCCTTTTGCCTAAAGCTCTGTATTTAATTCAGGCAACTGTCTGATCCATAGCATCAATTCTTCCTTCCGCTGATGATATGTGGCTGTAGCTCTAAGAGCAGGACAATGAGGGACTTCACAATTATTTTTGTCCTAGTTTTCTTGTCAGAAATTGTACACTAATTGCATAGAAATGGTGCATAAGATACCGAGGGTGTTAAATTCCGCAGCAACAAATTAGGAGGACAGGGTTGCCAACGCTGACTTGGAAAATCCTGAAGGGCTTCTGACTGGACACTGCAGATCTGATTGACTCTGCAGATTAAATGGTACCCTGTACAAGGAGAGCTTCTGCCTGAAACGATGAAGAATTACTATACATAACCTTAGTCCCTGCCATGTTGGGGTTTGCTCCACCTCTTGAGGGAGTCCTTTTGTGGCTGTGCCTACCACTCCGGGTCAGGATTCCAAAGGTGCACACAGGCTCAAAAACAACGGAGACTCCTGCTGTATGGTAGACCAGGGTGTCTGCCCTCCATAGCTATTTCCTCCAGTGGAATTTACCTCTGTCGTTCTGGGAGACTGTCAAGCCCCGCCTTAAATTTAGTAACCCTATGAGAAGCACCAGCAAAAAGAATTGGCAAAATGATGAAATTTTTCATTCCACTAATTAAAAGTCAGTCCCTCCTATGTGAATGTCTGGCAGTCAAACGGAATTGTACTGAGCCAATCACAAAAATGAAGGCTTACTATCAGCTCAACAAGAAATGTGGCATGCAAGGTGTCAAAGGGCCTTTTCCCTAATGGCATTGGTTCATCATTTATCATTAGCCCCTCTGGGCATTTCTTTGTACTCCAGTGCCTGGAATGAATGTGGATTTTTTTTTCCATTTTAGATGTTTATTCATTTGCAAATGAATGCACATCCCTGCAGCATAGCAGACTTTTTTTAAGCCAACAGAATCCGGAGCCTATTTAATTACTGCAGGAGAATCTCTGTAAAATAGAGTCAATATTTTGTTTTGTTTTGTTTTTAAAGCCTCTTACCTGATAAAATTATAATCAGAAGTTTAGCATAACAATCCAGGCAGCTGTGGAAAAACTTGATAGTATGTGCAATATCCTCCACACGGTACAGCATCTAAAAGAGACAATTGCCACTAAGAAAAATAAGCATAGTGTTAACATTGCAAGTGGCACTGAGAACTTCTGAACATGAAAATAGATCTGTGGCTATGACAAATCCAGTTGCTATGACCCTCCACACAAATTACAATAACACAATTCCTATTCCCATTTTTCAGACTGGGGCACTGAAGAAAAGTCATATTAATGTGGTGGTCTGATTACTGCGCTGATGGCACCACAGAATGGTGTTTTATGGGAACTTTCTTCTGCATACGTCTCACTGGGCTGTTGCTATAAGATTTGAAGAGCTTAGGCAGCTATTGAGCAAGTAGAAGGAACTTGGAATGAGATGTCCCTCAGGAAAGTGAGTGGACTCATGTAGTTAGGCCATTTGGCCTCTTCCTTTTGAAGTCACAACAGAAACCAGCTCAGGACAGGCTTAGCACACAGGACTACAGGGAGAGGAACCACCCCTCCAGAGTATAGAGTTGAGCTATTAAGTTAATGAAGAAAGGTGAAGACTGAAACAAGGAAACGGGTAACAGAATTAACCAAGGATTGAACTAATTTCTCCCCCAATTTAATATTCAAAGGACCACAGTGGCCATGAAAAGGGGGACAATTTCCTAAAAATCTTATGGGCCTTGAAAAATCGTCCCCACCAGTGTTTCCTCTAAGCTGAGTTAGCGTGAGCTAGCTCACAGTTTTTCAGCCTCTAGCTCACACATTTGTGCCTTAGCTCAGGAAAGATGGCTCCAGAGCAACCTTTTATGCAGCAGACAAATCGCCTGCTCACAACTTTAATGCCAGTAGCTCAGAAAGTAGAATTTTTGCACACAAGACTCCACAGCTAAGAGGGAACATTCACCCCAATTTGAAGCCAGGAATTTTTTGGAAAAGATCTTAGGACCGACCTCTATATGAAACTACAAGCATTCAGGTTGGCTTATGGTCATCTGGACATGTCAATACTGACTTATTTCTTAAGCCAGGCACAAGGGATGTTATTCAGTGTTTGGGATGGCATTAGAGATATGAAGTTATTGCCAGCAGTGTATACATTATTTTTGTGTGTGTCCTGCCATGGCCTCTCATCAGACCAGCAGGCACATTCTCTGAGAGCTTCAATCTGTACCCCAGCACACCTAAAATTAGCTTTCAGAAGGATGATCAGAACTACTGACACATATATGGTTTCATGCACAGGGGTATCACAGGCACCTACTCCTCTTAATGGGGAACACAATTCCCCCACTGTGTTAGATGCAGCTGTGGAACTCTCTTCAAATGACATTTTAGTTTGTGAAGAATGAAATGCTTCTTGATTGGTTTTATGAACTAAAACATCTCTCTCCCTATCCTACAACACCACTACAGAGAATTTGCAATATGGACCCCTATGGTGGGGGAGATAGGAAAGCAACAAACAGGAAACAATACTGTGTGTAAGGGAGGGGGAAAGCCAGAAGCTGATCTGTGGCAAAAAACCCAGCATGGAAAAGCCCTTTGCCATCCATGAGGAATGAATTTTCAACAACAATCAGACCCATCATTTTACAGTGCCATTAGCCCTCCAAACAGTCACATACATGTTTAGAAACAAAACAGGGCAAGCTACCATTTTCCTTCAGCAACCAGGGGCGGATTAAGGCTCACTGGTCCCTTCAGCAACACGCTGCCACCAGGGGCGGATTAAGGCTCACTGGTGCCCTAAGCACTTACCAGTCTTGGTGCCCCCCTCCTCCTTTCCACACTGACCCAGCCCATTTTAGTTGTTGACCTGTTGTACAATACACTGTACAAACTAAGCTTTTCACCCTTTCCCCAACTTTGTGGTGCCCCCTTTGGCTCGGGTGCCCTAAGCACGTGCTTACTCTGCTTAATGGTTAATCTGCCCCTGGCTGCCACACATTTTCTTTGAAAATGAGATAGGCTCGGAGAGGGGCTACTTGCCATCAGGACCTGTCAGTTGCCCTACTCATTTGAATTGTGTGGGACTTAGGGTCACCAGATTTCCTAATATAGTGGGAGACCTCCTGCTGGCAACCCCTGACTCCCACGACTGCTCGGTAAACCGGTGGGAGGGGAATAATGCAAAAAGTTGTCATTGTACAGACAGCATAACATCATTTCCAGGGTGAATCCAGAAGTGATGTCATACTATTCTAGGATTTCTAGGTTTGTCCCAGAAATGATGCCGTAACTCCATGCTGTTGACATGATGGTGGCCCTCTATACCCCCCCCCCAGTCTCATGGGGGCTCCAGCTGGCAACCTTACTGGAATTCCTGTGAATGGCTATTAAAAAAAAACATTTGGAAAACCAGTTGAACAGGCTTCCCCACCTCCAACAAGGACTTCTCATGTTC